GCTGAACTTCTGATACGTGCAGCATGATTGCGTGAACATTTCTGAGCAGCAAAAGTGATAGATCTGTAAAGCAGTGAGAGGGCCGTGTGTGTTACCGCGTCCCAAACGACTCAAAATAATAAACCAACAAGTAACAAAACGATGCACTTCACTGTGCTGAGCGAGAGCGCTTCTCTGCGGTCGTCACGTGCTATCGGAAACTTCCTATTTCCCACTTATGAAGTTGTGAGCGCTTCATGTGAGCGCTGCTGCAGTCTTAGGTCAACCCCAAATGCTCTCATTGGTCGAGACGCATGGTGACACCCATCCCAAGCCAGTACTGATCAACATCCCACCCCTCCTGTGACCCATGGTTTGTCTGTGTATTCAGAGCCAGTGAGCAACGGACTTTCATAATAATAAAAAAACGGTGTTAACGCACGATAAAATAATTGTCGGCGTTAATCAATTAATGCGTTAACACGATAAATTATATTATATTATATTATATTATATTATATTATATTATATATGTAGAAGTTGCTAGCCTTATTTCATTTGTTTTAAAGTTTTTCAAACCAAAAATGAGTTATGTGTAAATGGCCTCTTAGATGTTCTGGAATTTCCAGCCAATTTAGCCACTGAATTAGACACGCCCCCTCTTTACAAACTCTGCCCCCTACAAAGATTAACAGGCAGAAAGCAGCTTAAAATCTTCTGATTGGCTAAAATGCAAATTTAACACGCATCACAGTCCTCTTTTATTCTGTACTTCTTAAAATTGGCCAAGCTTCATATTCACTCATCAGAGTTGTAAATCAAAAATGTATATAGCATATTTTAGATTTGTTGGCTGATGAGTTTGCTTTATATTACAGAAACAAAATAATGAGTAGTTACTTTAAGAAAGCCTGTACGCACATTTATGTTATTACTCACACAATTCTCTAAGCCTCCTACACAAAGTAACAAATAAGCACTCAAGCTAGTCTTTACTCAATTTAATATATTCATTAAAAGTAGATCAAGAGGACATAATGGAATTATTCTTTTACGACTCCCACATGGCACACAGACAAAACTCCTCAGTTAATACTCTAACAGACTACAGGAAGCTAATTCACCATTTCACTTCTGCATTGCCTTACTTTCCTACCAACTGGAATATCTACAATTCTGCAACAGTTAAAAACAATATATTTTGGTGTTATAAACTTAAAAATCAACATAGCGTCATGATTAAAAAAATATTATTCATTGCACTTCAAAAATTTGCACTTCCTGCATAGTACTGATATGACATTTGCTACTCTTCCTTATATAGGCTACAAATCACAACAATCATACTGCTTTAAAAGTAGCAAAAATATCTAACAATATTATTATAGGCCTTTTTTTTTTTTAAAGCAGTGTGATATTTTGCTCTTAACAATCTATTTATTTACCATTCTACATGGCTAATTTTATAATCAAAATTCTGTGAAAATCCCTTCTTATATCCCTGACATGCTGTTGGGTGGCGCCAAACCTCTGCTGTACAGGAAATACTATCACTACCACTAACACTATTTAAAGCAGTCTATATGGCAACCCTTCTATTTAAAAGCTCTGTCGAACCCCACCCATACATTGCCAGGGTCACTAACAATTGGTGTCAACTGAGTAGCGAAGTCATAATGACACAGACTAATTGTTTTTTCCCTTCAAAAAATAGATGGTGATTATTAAGAAACCATTGCAATAATGGACAAAAGCATTTAATGGTCAAAAATGTGGTTATTGTGCACGAGAACATTTAGACTGCACCAGATGCCATTGAGCGAGTGTAAAAACAACACTAGCATCTTGAAGATATGATAAAACAAAAGTATTAATTATGTTAACTTAAACTTCTTACAATATTTTTCATGTCATGTCAAGTCATGACATAAGAAACAGCAATATTATATTTGTCAGATTCCTTTTGTTATATACTCAAGTATCTAAATCTGATCTGTTTTGGAGTTCCATATAGCTGACATTTATGTTTAATGATCCTTGAGAAGGTTTGAGATGAGAGGATGGGAACAAGATGAGAGGAAAAACGTTGACTCTACATGAGGAACCAATAAGAGGGTCAATAATTCTTTCAAAATATCCCTGTAATGTAACAAGTCACACAATTAACTAAATGAAAGAAAGAGAAACAACCAATTCTAAGTGCACCATAAACAAATAGCTGATAAATACCTGACCTCTGACTCAAAATGAGTCTGGGAAAGCCTTTCTACTCTTCTTCTACTCAAAAAAAAAAAAAGAGTATCTTAGCAGCCCTACATGCATATTAACCTACTTCAAACTATCTTTTTTTCACAATTCAACAAGGTGGACATGGCAACTTCGACCAGACAAGATTAGAGGCAAAAATAACTTGGGAGTTGAAGCAGGCTGAAAGCATCATTTAAAAAAAAACACCAGGTGGATTACCTTCCTATTTTACACCTTCAGGTAATCCACGCATGGCTAAGCCTGTACTATCCACACTACGAGATTCACCTCTATGTCACATCTATTTGAGGCTACAGTGACAGTCGCTATCACTTTTGCTACTGTGTTACCTAACACCTAAAGGCCTGAGATCTGTCACATTTGGTTTTCTATCAAGATAGGGACCTTGAGTGACTCGAGTTCTTATACTGAGCAAATGATAACTTATATCTCCTAACCCTAAATCCATCCCTCACAGGAACCATTCTGCAGTTTTATAGTTTCATTAAGACATAATTTATTAAGTGATTTCTCAATATTAATGATTTTACTGTCCTTATAGGGACATTTGGTAACCAAAATGCAGGTAAAATCTGCATAATACATTTTGCCATAATATATAGTGCATTAAAAAGATTATATACACATATACATATATATACATATATTACATATACACAACCCACACTCAATGTTATAGAATGAGTGAATGAGGAAGTAGCAAATGGTTTGTTCTGACGTTTCTCCACATGCCTCAATAAATTGCATAACACATGTTGTAATCCATATAAAAGGGGTGGATGACACACATAATCTGATGTCACAAAGAATATGTGCCATTTTACTCTAGTCAGGGTAAACTGTACACACAATTCATGCTTAAATCCCCTTAACTGATCATTATTCTTCTGATTTCAACCATTAGATTTGATCCAGCATGATTGTACATCAGAAACGACACGAACCAGTCATGCAAAAGGACAGACAACAGTGTTTGGGAACAGGTGACATGATACTGAGTTTATCTGATCCAATGTTATAAATAAATGATATGTTCTCGTCAGGCCGACAGTTACATAAAAACCTCCGTCACACTTGTGAATCAAACCATCCCCGTTTCTCCCTCCAAAACACAGCTGACAGCGGCGTTCACATGCACACACTGAATTACACACATGATCACCTCCCTTTAAAGAAACGGCCTTGAGCAGACACGATTAAAAACGAGTGCCGCGTTACAGTATGATGTATACGTGAGTATGTGTGTGAACTCTACATACAAAGAGAATTCAGAGGCGGCCAGCTGGGCACATAAGCCGTAACTGCAAAATCCAAATAATCCTTTACAAAGACAAGCCATCTAAAGTGGGGTGAGGTGAAAGCACAAAGAAAAAAAAAACAGGATATATGCCTGTACAATAGAGTACAAATACATATATGTGAGTGTGTGTACAGTACATATGAGATGTGTGTGCATGTTATGATGTGTGTCTATATTTGAGATATCCAGCACCTTCGGTTCTATATTGAGTTACCGGAATGTCAAGCCACTCAAAATAGGCGGACAGCTTATAAAGCCAGCACACGTCGGGCCGTACGTGCAACGAAAGGCAATAAATAGACATTAAAATAAAAATAGACCAAGCCCTCACCTTCCATCATGATTGCAGATTTGCATTCCTCTATCTCCAAGGAGCCTGAAACGGGAGGAGGGGAGAAGAGAAGCCCCTGGTTACCAGATGGAGAGATGTAAAAAAAAAAAAAACAGAGCACACTTCCAGCCTCGGCTTTAAAGTCCCCGTGTCCCTGGTACGACGGGCCAGTGGATGTTTTAGGGCTCCGCGTTTAGGCCATGGATGCTGCTGCTAGCCACTGCGGCTGTGGTCTACACGATCACCAAAGGATGCTCAAAAGAGGGCAGGAAAAAAAGCAGAGTGGAGAGAGACAGAGAGAGAAGGAGGGAGGGAGAGAGGGAGGGAGGGAGAGAGGAAGGGAGGGAGGAAAGCTTGCTGAGGACATCGTTCAGCTCAGCCAATCCCGTGGGCACTGCTGCATGTCACATGGCGAGCGGTTCATTGCTTCTGTCAGCGTCCTCACTGGGAATTCACATACACGAACACACACACACACACACAAGCACAGAGTTTACCTTGTTATGGTGCAGCGTGCCGCTCCTGCCAGAACAGAAAGGAACAGGATTAATGGGGCGTTGGGTGCAAAATACAGGAAACTGTCCATAAGAACATGACTGAGATACAGTTTCTTCACGGTTACATTTGTAGATATAAACGTTGAGGCTCAGCTGGCAGCCCGTGCCTGTCTATTTGCCTGTTTCTCTCTGTGGCAAATCAATCAATGTGACATTACATCTGACAGAAACAGTAGCTGCCCCATGAAAGGAGGCGCCAGCACTCAATACACTGACTTGTAACAGAGGAGGAGGGGAGGAGAGAGAGGCTCTGTGTTTGTGTGAGGGTTGGTGATTAATTTAATATGAGGAGGTGGGTCTCTCTCTTTAGATTACTAATGAAAAGACAAAAAAAAAAGGTTGGGTGGACTGAAAAAAATCTGTTTCTTTCACAAAAGTACCAGCTGCAGTTTCGATTACATATAATAAAGGGGTTGATGATGATTTTGTGAGGAACATGTTCTTGAATTTTACTTGATTTAAAATAATATTAAAATAAATACTTAATAAGTTTAAAAAAAAATTTTTTTTTTAAATAAAACTATAAATGTAAAATTATATATTGTACACTACCATTTAAAAGTTTGTGGTCGGTAATATTTTTTAAAAAATTTTTTGAAGTCTCTTATACTCACCATGCATTAATTTCATCAAACATACTGTAAAAACAGTAATATTGGGAAATAGTATTAAAATTTTAAATAGCTGTTTTCAATTTTATAGTTTTATATTTTTAAATATTTTAAAAATGTCATTTATTCTTGTTCTGGCAAAGCTGAATTTTCCTTTAGAAATCATTGTAATATGCTGATTTGGTGCTTAACATTTCTTATTATAATCAGTTTCAAACTACTTGTGCTGCTTAATATTTTTGTGGATACTGTGATCTTTTTTTTTAGGATTCTTTGAGGAATAGAAAGTATATATATATATATATATACACACACACACACACACACATGCACACACTGTATGAAGAACTGAAAATGCAAACAAGATTATAAAATGTATTTATATGAGCATATGAATGTTTAAACTGAGTGTGCATAAGGACTATATAACACAAATATGTGTGTATTCTGTGTGGCTGTTCTCCAACATGACACACTCTTTTTATTCTCACAGTTAAGAGATGCCGTTTCATTCTCAAGCCTCTGTTCACCTAAGTCATGCTCTGGTCCATGTGAGCATCTCTTTCCCTTATCACTGTCTGTCTCTAGCGCCCTCTGTCTGTAGTCTTCCGCCTGTCTGAACACATTGCAGGCCATAAATGTCTAACCATTTATGTTAAACATTTATAAAAGTTGAGTATAGAGGGCCATAGCGACCCAATTTTTGATGGGGATACCCCCCAGCCCCCCACCCAAGTTTTCAGTTAAGATTCAGTTTTAAATTACTTTTGGCATCCCCTCAATCCTGAAAATGTGGTCACATCCTCAATCTTCAACACAGTTTGCATTACCACAACACACACCCAAACTCAAACCACCCTATTACAGCAGATGCTGTCTGTGAATACCTCCCCTCCCCCACTCCACCCATTTTACCCCACCTCTATAACCCCCTACACCTCCCAGTGGACCCGATCTTATCCTTCCAGCGTGCAGGTGCACATGTGTTTGTGTCAGTGTGTTTACACATTTTGCTATTAGGGGTGTGCGATATATATCGTCTGCGATAATATCGTAATTGTTGTTTTAACGATGTGCGATTTGACATAATAGAGTATTTTGCTAAAACCATTCAAAACACCCCTACAGAGTGCACGCATACATAACGTGAAGTCTAGACTAGTGCACATTTAGAGTGTGTTCTTTCACTAGATGATTCAGTCTATTACAATACATTTAGAATGATCACAAATTCAAGACATCATGGCAGAAAATGTATATATTTATACAATTTCATATAGTTAATAATCAATTTCACATGAAGAGTGCCATTTTTATTCAAATATTACCATGATTACAAATGTGATATTGATTTTTTACAACAGTTCAATAAACAAGAAGTTAATTAAAAGACTTACGTTTTAGACACCATATTGCCTGTTTTTGCTCTATTTCGACAACAAAAATAATTCCAAACAAAGCCACAGCCCTGTTTTGCTTCTCTGAGCAACATGACACTGTATATGACTCACTTATTAACAGTGACTTTCTGCCACCTGCTGGCGGTTTTAATTTCACATTCAAACTATCTTTTATTGTTTAAAGCTGCAGTCCGTAACTTTTTTGGTTAAAAATTATCCAAAATCAATATTTGAGCAAGTACATAACCAGCCAGTGTTCAAAACTATTGCCTTACTTTAGCCCGATTCACAGCGGTTAGCTTATAATAATGTTTTCTAATTTGAGTGGTACGGGTAGGTTTTCGCGGGAAATTCGAGCATGGCACTGCGTCATTACGTCACGTCTGTAAACATAAAGAAGTTTCCCCGGCTACTAGGCTATCCATGTGAGGATCCTGCAGGTGGCCGATAATTTATAGCCTTTTCTCACAGCAGCTGGAATAATTAAATGTATCATTTTGATGGCGGATTGTAATCCAGAAAGGATTACGTGTTTTGAGAATAAAATATAACAATAATAATAATTTGAACAGTTTGATGTGATATGAGCTAACCGATCTTTAGAAAATTCTTATTTGGGTCATATATTCCAAGACGTAGGCTAGAATCTGTGATTGTGAAGTACAGTAAATATCCATTCCACCCCGGTGCGGTGACTGACTGCCACACATACTCTTCAGAACATTAGATTCATCCGCGCTAGAGTCGTGCCGACTCACAACCCACGAGTCAGCTGTCCACAGCAGTCCTTAAGATACCAGCACAATAACACACTCAGCAAAATATTGTCTAATTATCGTTATCGCCGATATCGATCGTTAACGAGCCTTAAGGTCTAATCCCGATGTAAACTATAAGCACAAACTGTCATTTTTCTGTAACTAAATTTGACAAGGTTTTATTCAGTTCATTTTTATTAAGGTTTATTCAGGTTTTATTTTATTCATACAATTCAAGATGGCGCCTGTGTGTTGGTCGGCATGCCGTTTGTCTCGTCAGTTTTTGGATATCCATTCAGTACTCTGCCTTTCGATGCTTTCTCTGCTGTTGTTAATGCATTGTGCTGATGCTATCATCACCTATGATTGCCAAGTATTTCTGCACATCAAGAGTTTGTTAGAGAATCAACCTAGAGACTGTCCACATTGTACAGGATTATTGTTACTCCTCGTTCTCTCTTCCATCGGCCGCATTTATTCGCCGGCTTCCTTGCTGTATTATCCATCAGCGGAAACGTTGCAGAAGAAGGAGAGGAAATCGTGGAGGTGTCCGGGTGAGGATTAGGAGAGAAGTTTACATCTCTTCGGCTCAACTTTATACTTGTCCCGTAACACTTTCCCTATGGTCACCGTGGTTTATACCTGGCTCGGCGTTCGTGGGATGTGAGATATGCCTGTCATCTGCCCGTTATACCGGACCAGTGGTAGTCGGCTGATTTCTGCGCTCCTCCTCGATTGCGCGTCCAAAGAAGGGGTGTGAATCTTCAAAATATTAAATCATTGAAGTATGTCCGTCAATCACAAGCACAAACTTCTGTCTCCCACGTTAAGATGGCCTTGGTAAATGCCAGATCTGTGTCTAATAAGACTTTTATTTTGAATGACTTTTTTACTAGACACGAATTGGATTTCTTATTTTTAACTGAGACCTGGACTGGAGCGGGTGAGTCGTCCGTTTTTGGCGAACTTTGTCCTTCAAACTTGTTTTTTTAGCACTCCGAGATGTGTTGGAAAAGGAGGTGGAGTGGCTATGGTTTTCAGGAACTGGTTTAAATCTCAGACTGTCTCTGTTGGGAACTTAACCACTTTTGAATCTCAGTGTGTTTTGCTACTGTCGGTTGATTCTGGTGATAATGCAGTTTTGGTTTTATTGGATCTTAGTGCTGCCTTTGATACAGTTGATCATAATATCCTTCTGTCACGCCTTGAACATTGGGTGGGCATAAAGGGTACAGCACTTAGCTGGTTTGAGTCGTATCTGAAATCCAGGTCATTTTCAGTGTCTGTTGGCCAGTTTATCTCATCATCTGCCTCTCTTCTCTACGGGGTCCCTCAGGGGTCCATTTTGGGTACATTACTCTTTAATCTGTATATGCTTCCACTTGGTAATATCATAAGGAAATATAAAATCTCTTTTCATTTTTATGCAGATGATTCTCAGCTGTATCTTCCATTAAAATCTCGAGATTCTCTGCAGCCTCTCATCGACTGTCTTGAGGATATAAAATGCTGGATGTCAAATAACTGCAGCTCAACAATGATAAAACTGAGGTGATTCTCTTTGGTCCCTCTAAAACTAGAAATTCTGTTGTTGGGAACTTAGAAAACCTTACTCCATATGTTAAGTCTCATGTAAAAAATCTAGGTGTTATCTTTGACTCTGAGCTTTGTCTTGAAAAACAAATTAGCTCAGTTGTTAAAAATAGTTATTATCAGCTGAGGATCATCTCTAAGCTTAAATCAACACTTTCCTTTCAAGATCTGGAAAAAGTCATTCATGCTTTTATCACATCACGCCTGGATTATTGTAATTCGTTATATGTTGGTCTTCCACAATCTTCATTGGCACGGCTGCAGATGGTTCAGAACGCGGCGGCTAGATTGTTAACCGGCACCAAAAAACGCGAACATATTTCTCCAGTTTTAGCGTCCCTTCATTGGCTTCCTGTCTTTTTTAGAATTCAGTTTAAGATTTTACTTATTGTTTTCAAAGCTCTTAATGGACAAGCCCCATCTTATATTTCTGATCTTATTCATTTGCATTCAACGCCGAAGTCTCTCAAATCCGCTAATAAAGCTCTATTACATGTCCCTCGGTCACGACTTAA